TGCCCTTTGATTCTTCAATCTGTCTTGATGTTCTCGAAGCTTCCCTAAAGCTCTCAATTCTATTGAAGATCTCGGTTCTGCTGCTCGAAAATAAATGGAATTCCCATAAACACCTTTAAATGTCCCTAAAAAAATCTTAAGGGTTCTCGATTTTTTTTCAGCCCATCATGGAATTATCGTGAATTTTTCTAAATTTACGATTATAGATCTTTAAACTGCTCCAAAAGTCTGGACTAAAAGCTACGGAAACTGCTCCTAAGATCTGAAATTCCTCAAAAATCTCTAGATCTAGCTTTTCTAAGGTACTTAGAGCTCCTTAAAAATTTGCACAATACCCTCATGTTTTCTATATTTCTCAACTTTGCTTGACACCTGTGAAGTTCTCTGAAATTCTAGGAACTTCATACAAGTTCCCGAAAATTTTTGGATGCTAAAAGATCCGCTTTGAGGTTTTTAAAGCTTCCAGTAAGTTCCCCATATTTTCAGCGCATTAACTTCCCTTATGTTCCGGAGTTTGTTTATGGAGCTTCACTGAATTTCTCCGCATTTCTTTTCATTACTCAGAACCTCTCCAAAGTTCTTACAGTTACGAACAAAAAATAAATCATTTATTTTTTCTTTGATTCTGGCACTTTGAAAATTTCCAATATCTTGGCTTCGGTTCTGATCACCTTCCAGTAGCTTTTGAAATATCCCAAGAAATAATTTGTAATCCCAACAGCTCTACTTTCAATTACCATAGGGTTGATTGGGTGCAATATCGAACATTTATGGAATATAACTTCGATCCAAACATTCTTTTTCAAACCAAAGATGAAATTAATTAGTCTCTTGAATCTCTGACTACTTCTATAGTTGAAGCGAGAGCTGTCTCAGTACCAAAATGCGAGGTTAACTTCGATTCAATTATAATAGACGGCAATCTTCTGCTCTTGATCCGTCTTAAAAATGTCCGTAGGAGACCAGATCAAAGAATAAGCGATCCTGCCATGAAAGTTATCTGGCGGGATTTGCGAAAACAAATTTTAAAAGCGATTCTCTGTCCTGAGGAACAAAACTTTTAAACATAATGTTTCTAAACTAGACCCGAGTTCCAAACCCTTTTGGAACATCGCAAATATTTTGAAAAAATCTCAAAAACCTTTTCCAGCGCTTATAGATGATGGAAAATTTTGATCACAAATTCGGAAAAAGCTCAGTCCTATTGAGAATCAGGTTGCTCGGGATTATCTGAATATTTTCTCTCGGGAAAATATTTTTGATGATTCCTGGGGGACTGATTTGGACGAAGTAAGATCTATAACTAAAAAGTTTCATAATATGAAAGCTCCAGGTGATGATGGAATTTTCTATATCCTCATCAAAAAACTCCCAGAGAGTACCTTTTCTTTCTTGGTAAAATTATTTAACAGATGTTTCCATTTGGCATACTTTCCTGATAAATGGAAAAATGCAAAAGTTGTTCCAATTTTGAAGCAGAATAAAAATCCAGCTGAAGCTTCTAGCTACCGTCCAATAAGTTTGCTTTCTTCAATAAGTTAACTTTTTGAAAAGATAATTTTAAATAGAATGATGCTTCACATCAATACGAACTCAATTTTTGCAGATGAGCAGTTTGGATTTCGCCATGGGCATTCAACCACTCATCAACTCTTAAGAGTTACCAATTTAATTCGTTCAAACAAATCTGAAGGCTGCTCAACTGGAGTTGCTCTTCTAGACATAGAAAAAGCGTTCGATAGTGTTTGGCATGAAGGTTTGACTGCTCTATTGAAAAAGTTTAATTTTCCACTCTATATTATGAAATTAGTTCAAAATTATTTGACTGACAGAACTCTACAGGTAAATTATCAAAATTCCAAATCTGATTGACTACCTGTTAGAGCTGGAGTTCCTCAGGGTAGCATTCTTGGGCCTATATTGTAAAACATTTTCACTTCGGACCTCCCTGATTTGCCTCAGGGTTGCCACAAATCTGTGTTTGCTGATGGCACAGGCATTTCCGCTGAAGGAAGAAGTCTTCGTGTTATTTGCAGCAGACTGCAGAAAAGTTTAAATATTTTCTCATCTTATTTACAAAAATAGAAGATTTCTCCCAACGCTTCCAAAACTCCACTTATAATATTTCCACATAAGCCTAGAGCTTCCTTTTTGAAACCTAGTAGTAGTCACATAGTCACTATGAACGGAGCTCCAATTTCCTGGTTAAACCAAGTGAAATATCTTGGATTAATACTTGACCAAAAATTAACTTTTAAAGATCATATTGAGGGCATTCAAGCCAAATCTAACAAATATATAAAATGTTTGTATCCTCTTATCAACAGGAAATCCAAACTTTGCCTGACGAATAAACTTCTAATATTTAAACAAGTTTTTAGACCTGTCATGCTGTACGCTGTGCCAATATGGTCTAGTTGTTGCACTACCAGGAAAAAAGCACTTCAAAGGATTCAGAACAAAGTTCTGAAGATGATTTTGAAGCTGCCTCCCTGGTACAGTACTACCGAAGTACATAGAATTTCGAATGTTGAGACTTTTGAACAAATGCCCAACAAAATAATTAATCATTTCAGGCAAAAACCTTTGCAATCCTCGATTGCAACGATTAATTCCCTTTATACTTAGATAAGATTTAGTGTTAGTTTTTAGTTTTAAGATGTAAATTGTTATATTCACATGCAGGCTTTAAAAAAATGTTCAAAATACTGAATTGCCAAGGCAAGAACAATGGAAAAACACTTAGAATTATACCATAACAATTAGGGCTGGTAAGTTACTGTAGTAACTGAAGCACCTAGGTTAAAATGAAATGTAATTTATTTTGAATTTGGAACAAATTTAGAGTTAAAAAAACAAAAAAGGTTAAATTTATGTGATTTATCAGCAGCCAGAAATTCAGAAACGTGCTTTTAAAGCAAATTGTGTATATGATACAAAATTTATGGATTCCAAGTAATATTGCATTTTTTATAAAGGTTTCAACTATTCTTCAAGACCAAATTATGGCCAACAGAACTATGAAAAAACCAAAATTGTTACTTGGGATGTGTATGTGCGATTTGGGCTTTCCCACATTTTTCCCGGCTAATGCGCATTTCCGTTTCCCCCCCGGATTTCTCGGTTTTTACGGTTGGATGGACACCCAGGGATACAGTAATGACTTGATTTTGTCAGCTTCGGTTTTGAAAAAAAATCTTATGTTCTACGAATCCCACATGGTTTTCAGTGGTATTATAGCAACAAAGTAGGGTAGAGAACTACTTCGGCCTAAGCGCCCATTTTGGGCCTATCAAGTAGAAAAATTTAATAAATCCATGATTTCGGCGTTATCAGGTAAATTATACGTTTGATACGATACTTTAATTCAAATGCTACCGAACGAAGTAAATAAGCACGTGTCATATGAATGTTTGCACCCAATATTCTCAAATACAAATGAAGCCCTCCAACCGCATCAATCTTTATCTTCATCCGATAGGCCGAAGTAAATTTATTGGCGTTTCAATGGCGTTTCAATGGCGATTCAATGCGTTAGGCCGACTTTAGAATCCGTAGGCCAAGTTTGGCGTCAAGCAGCAGTGTTAGACTTATAACAATATCTCAACAATTTGTTTCTCTTTATCAAAGCTTACGGTACGTAAGGAAAGGTAAATAAATTAGGAAGCCATAAGTAATAATAACATACGGTTTGGTGCTAAACTACGCTAGATAAAGATAAAGAAAGAATAAGTGCGGGTTGTGCTTAATGGGCTAGAAATGGGGTAGTTATCATAAACATACGTCTTGAAGATGAATGAGAAAGATTTGGAATTACGGTTATGTGAAATTCTTTAAAGATAAAATTTTGGTACTCGAAGGGGCTGACATTGGGTCATTACTATATATAATTAACAAGAATGTAAACAAATTTGTTGGCATATTCTATTTTATCATTGCAAGATTAAAAAAAAACTTAATTTATCGACAAAATTTAAGTTTCAACAATTCAACAGATTGATCCATTTCGTTGCATGTTTCAGTGTTTTGATTTTTAAACTTTTAAATGTTTCTTTACGTAGATTAATCAGTCAAAATGGCAAAATAAATTGTCAATGATTACTTGGGAACTGCGTCATGATAACCTGAAATTAATCAATTAAGTTAAATATTATTATCGCACCTTCCTCATGTATCCTGCAAGTGTTATCGAATGCAGCGAAAGTTTTCAATCTCATTCGCAAAAAAAAGTTTAAAGAAGAAAACTATTCCACGAAAAATAATTGAATCCATTACTCTAACTAGTTTTGATAGTCATAGCATTGAATTAAGTTCCAGATGTTTATTTTTAGCTTTGAAATTTTACCCAAATTCATAAAGAAACAATCCAAACAAATGTTGGGCCCTTGCGATCCTTCTGACAGCACCGGTATTTCGCAACCCATAGATAGAGAAACAAATGCTCTTCTTAAATTTTGAAAGATCGACTTTGTTCCCATTCAATTCCACTTGAGCATACACACTTAGAAATGATTACCGACTTGGGTAATTTTTATCGAGCCCTCAATTTTGACCCTTATTTGAGAAGCTGTTTCACTAAATTTTAGTTTCAAAACACTGTCAACCTTGTACAAATAATCGAGTCTTGAATTGAACTGACCAATAAATCGAAATGCTTGACTTTTACCGAACAGTAAAGCTGCTGAAAAGTTTGGTAAAAATTACCGAAGTCGGTAATCATTTTGAAGATTGTAATGATGCGCATATACCACCAGTTTGATAATTTGCCTGATTTACGTTGCATGATATAAACTATTCATTAGGGTTAATTTTTCACTAAACATTTATTTCATACCCTGGCCGACCACGTAACGCCCGTTTTGTACGAAGCGTTCGCAAATCATTTACCAAAATGAAGTTTCTTTACATAGCAACTAGCAAAATCGGCGAGACATTAATCCAATCACATGCTTCACTTAAAACCAAAATAATAAAATAAAATCAATCGAAATGATACATACACTTTTTCTCGTCAAACAACTGAAAATCCTGCCCGATGTGCTGGTTGTTGTTCAGATCTCCCTGACCGTAGCTGGCCGTCGGCACGCGTCCAAAGAAAGCACCAAATTCATCACTGCGCACCCGGCGATCATCCCCGCCGTAATGAAGTCCAACGTGATTGAAACCGTTGCTGTTGTTATTGTTATTGCTCAGTTGTTCATGCACTACAGTTCTTGCCAATTCTGGTGCTGCAGCAGCTGCCGCTAGAACACTACCATCACCCCCGTAGTAATCGTCTCCCGCGTCCGACAGTGGTTCCTGCTTCACAACGATCAACGAAGCCAGGCGGGTTCGCATGTCCTTAAAAGTTGATCAATTGGGATTCGATACAATGCACACACATACACACACAGACGCACTTACGCTCACCCCCTCGGCACTGCCCTTTATAGAAGAAGGGGTTGTTTCTTCACCTTTTGCGACCGAGCAGTTTGTGGACGGATCTTCCGGTAACAACAGCACAGCAACTTCATGTTTTCGAATTTCCGTTTTCAGTTGTTTAATCCTTTTTCTCTGAGTATTGTGTGTGTGTGTGTTTATTTCAAACAAAATCAAAAAGCAGGGATGAACTGAAGAAAGCTACTTGGAAACTTGAAAGGCTGAACTGAAAATACGGGAACAGTTTCACACTTAAGCACTACTACTTCTACGAACGAACTAAAGAGAGCAATCAAGCGACACAACATCGAAAACAGCGAAAAATCGGAAATGGTGTTCAGACCTGTTGAAGGTGCTAGGACCTTCTGGTGCTGATCTTGTTCCTCCTCCAGCACGAAAGACACTTCACCGTAGTCACAATGCTAATCCACTTCTGCGCGCACTTCTGCTTTGTTCCCTATCCGAACTAATTTCAGACCAATCCACCAACTCCTTCCCGCTCACTGTTGTTCTTCATGCAGAAAACCAGAATTCCTAACCCGAATCACTAAACAAGTTCTTCACTGAAACCCCCAGTCACAGTCCTCTATGGTCCCAAAACACAAATGTTTCACTTTCAGGCAGCACGCAGCGACGCGGGCACGGGCAGATTCACTTTCGATTTCATTGGGCTTGAGATCGTCTTCTTCTGCTTTGTTCGGTCTGCGACAATACACCGAGATTTGTTCAACAAGCGCGGACAGCAAGGAACCGTAGCGGCGGCGAATGGAGAAGCTTCGCGGTTCGCATCCGGAAAGCTTTTGATAGCACTGCAGATCTTCGCGATCCTCTCGGGTGCCCAAAACGTGACTGTTGACCACCGCGCGTGCGATCGCAGCACGAACCGAACCGAACGAACGGAAAACGGAGAGCGTGGTGTTCGTACGAGAGATATAGAAGAGAGAGATCACTCCAGAGTTGTCGTCGTCTTTGATCGTGGTTTGTTGATCGCTACACCACCATCACCACCACCACCCCCAAGCGGCTGGGTGGGAGTACGGGGCGGTTCTTCGGAGCTTTGGAGTTTTCAAAGGTGGCCGGTGGGCCACCGACGCGACGATGATTCGTTTGCAACCAATACGACCTTCTCAAGAGCGCGCATGGAGGTGGAAGCCTTCAGGATTGGTTCGCTCACACCACTTGCACTTGCACTTTCGCTTTCGTTTGCTCCAGATCCCCAATTTTGCGCTTTTCACTCGTCGTCGTCGTCGTCGGTGTCGTCTTCTTCGTGTCCCACCACGGAGATTCTGCAGCTGTTGACTGACACCGTCAGTGGTAGGGATACACTACTAACTCCCACCACCCACAGTCCCGTTAGGTACACTCTCACTTTCTACCGTTACCGGTTGACCTCCGTCGGGAGATCTTCGCGCGAAAGGAGTCCTCCCCAAGGACAAACCCCCGTTCAATCCACTGTGCACGACACGGCTCGTTCTCGTTCCCGGTAACCAGTTAATGAGAATCCCGATTTATTTATTTTTTTTATTTTTGGATTAATAGACCTGCCGCAAACTGAGGCGAGATAGAGAAAAACCGAAAAATCCACACCTGTTTGCACCTGAACGATACGGCGTCTCGGACGCAACTGAACTTATCGTAGCCCCAGCATAGGACTATATTCTTCAGAAAGAGTACATACACATCATTTCTTCTCTCCTTTCGCGATACTCTTCGTTGCTGCTGCTGCTGTCGTCATAACCGGGCCGGGGTGCCCCAAAACCACCCACTCACCTTCCACATGGGAGTCTCTCCCCAGTTTACGAAGTGTCCAACCGACAACGACGGTTGAAAGCAAAACCAGTAGAAGCGCAGTTTCTCCGTGACCAACGAACGACGCCGACGACCACCGACGCCGACGTTTACCCTAACCTTACACAAGAGCAAATCTCCTGAACCACGATGACGTCGGCGACGCGACGGAGTAGCAAGGAAGATACCGCCGCCGCCGCCGCTGCATATGTGTGTCAGTGTGTGAGGCGGTCGCGGACAATATGCTCTCTGTCGGCTATGCTGCTCGTTGGCACGGCTGATGCTGCTAGCGAGTTAAATGGTGGCCACCACACCACAGTAGATTTGCCTGAGTGACGGTTTCTGATTAGTTTTCATTCGGTTGGATTTAGGGTTTTCTTTTGAATCCCAAGCACTTAATGTTTACTAGCGCGTTCCAATCCTTTGCGTTAGACTGAACTCGCCCTGGGGGTTTGAGTTTGCCGAGCATCCGAAACGCCAAGTGGTCCTCTTTGGAGGTGGCGCTTAAGCCATTTGTTTAAAAACCAATCTACGGAACACCCTACACACCAAAAAATTATGAACTTTAATGGCGATGTAAATATCCATGCATGCTAAAATTGAAGCATGTAAACTTCCTTTTCACGTAAATAAGCTACTTGCAAGAAATATTGCTTACAAAGATGGATGGTTGCATACAATATTCAGAATATTTCATTAAATGACTCATAAATTTACTGTAATGTAAATTTGTACGATATGTGACGCTCCATTTATGTGCATCAAAGTGACAGTACTTACTTACACTACTTTTTCGAACTGTGTAGTAGACCGATTGCGGCTAGCCGACTTTATGCCGGCTACAAATTCTGCAACTCTGACGAATCGATCAAACTTTACCCTTTCCGAATTCCATGAAACTTTGCAGATTTGTTCGCCTGGCAGCGTTGTCAGGTCATTTTCAGAAAAATCTGGACCAGTCAAAATATAAAATCTGGAAAAATCTGGAATGCTCCCAAAAATCCTGTTTTTAACATAATGCTTTTTTTTAACTAGTTCGTTTATTTACTAGGCTCAGTCGTGTGTGACACTTTGCGGAGCCAAAATCAGTAATGTTTGATTCACATTTTAAATAGCAGTATTTCTAGGTTAGTGTTGGGTACCAATTACTCGTGGCGGGCTCGAGGTTAATAGGTAACAATTTCAATTGGAAGGATCTAGGTAGGAAACTGGTTTCTGAAGCCTCCTTCAGATACTACTCTCGGACGGTTGACCAAATCCTGGCTGGGCAGGGGCAAGTAGCACAGGAACAGGAGTATAATAAGACTGGGACACAATGGCGGGAAATTGTTTGGAAAGGAGGGGATAGTCACATCAAACTCTAACATCAGACAAACAAAGGAATTCGTAGATCGCTTGCATGTAGGGAAGATCACGTGTTCCCAATACATCTCTTACTTCACGGAAGGGTTGTCTACCTCGGGCCACTAGGGTATCCAATAGTCGTGCTCTGTAGGCGTCATTACCCGGGCAATACCAAAATGCGTGATCGATGTCATCATAACCGGTTCTGCACCTACATATATTGCTGTCAACGAGGTTTATTCTATAGAGATGTGCGTCTAGCGAGTAGTGGTTGGACATAAGTCTTGACATCACTCGAATGAATCCCCGACTTACATCCAGACCTTTGAACCACGCTCTCGAAGAAACATTTGGAATAATGGAATGTAACCACCGCCCAAGAGAATTATTTGTCCAATCGTTTTGCCAACTTAAAAGAGAACTCTGACGTACTAATGGGAAAAATTCATCATGTGAAATTCTTCTATCATAAATCTCGCCTTGTTGTGCGCCCACCTTTGCGAGAGAGTCTGCCTTCTCATTGCCTGGGATTGAGCAATGTGAGGGGACCCATACAAAGGTAATCATATATGATCTTTCGACCAGCAAACTCATCTGTTCCCTTACCTTTGAAAGGAAATAAGATGAGTGCCTACCTTGTTTCATCGACCGAATAGCCTCAATCGAACTGAGACTATCCGAGAAGATGAAGTAATGGTCTATGGGCATATCGGAAATCATCCCCAATGCGAAGTTGATTGCTGCTAGCTCAGCAACATAAACGGAACAAGGTTCCTGAAGTTTCCGAAAGGCGGTTGAGTATTCATTGAAGACGCCGAAGCCAGTAGATCCATCAATGCGTGATCCATCAGTGAAAAATCTTCTATTGCAATTGACTTGTTGGTACTTTTCAGCAAAAATGCGGGGTACATAATGCTATTGAAAACAACTAATGTGCCAATCTCCCGTAAAAATCGGTCAGGATGATCGTCTGGAATTTATTCAAAGTATACTAGAATATTTATGAATTCCATGTTTTAAAAATATATATAAAAAGCAAACTTGTTAGCATTGCTAAAATCATCCCAAAGTTAAGAAAAGTATTGACACAGTGTTCCCAAAAAGTTTAAATATCCATTACGCAGCATTTCAAAATTGATTTAAATTTTTGGTAAATTACTGCAGAAAATATGTTTAGGATTCCGAAGCAGCAAAGATTCAAGCAACTTTGATTGGATGATTTTTTTACTGATAGTCGATTTAGTCCTTACTATTATTTGATGCAGTACCAGAATATGTTTTAAAGATTTTATTAGTTCTACATAATTCTTGACATCATTCAACTCACAACACACGGTAGACCAGTAGGGTTTATTACGGGTTACTCCACATGACAATTACAAATAATTTTATGCCAAAAAATAATATTATTATACAACTAAAATGAAAGTCTGAAAGCGTAATCTTTGAAGTCTCAGGATCTTGAAATGATTCTAAATTCTGGAATGTATATTTTTCCTGGGTCCCAGATCATGGAATTTTTTGTTAGTCTGAATGTACTTCATTTGCAGAGTTCAATTTTAATCATCCAAGAATTTCATCATACTTCTATTCTGGATTCCCCTAAACTAATCTTGATTATATCCAAACTTTTTCAGTAACATTCTAAAGGTGCTTAGCATTATCACTCTCTGATTCCACAATTCCCTCAAACTGGTAATAATTTCCAAGAATTGGCATAATTTTGTCTCAATTTTTCTCTATGAAATTCCCTTAGAATATTCTTAATAATTTCTCTTCGGAATGACCGTCACATTCTTCTCAGACTTATCCTCTTCAGTATACTCTAAGTACTCAAGTTCTATGCCAAAATAGCCTTGAAAGTCTCCCAGAAATTGCCAGATTTCTTAAAACTTGATTAAACCTAATCTCCATAGAAACATTGGACAGAATTCCATTTAAATTATTCTCAGCATTCTCCTTAAGTTTCATCTTATTAATTTTCTATGATTTCTCTTCCGAATTCTAACTCTTTCATTTCTTCACCAAATCTCCATGCAATTGTCATCAGAGTTTGCAAAAGACAATTTATACCGTCTTCACTTCAATCAAAGGTTGCACAGACTGCATACTTACACTTCTCTGTTAACTATTTTCAGAATTACCTTCAAATTTTGAAATCTATGGCAATTCAGAATTCTAAGGTATTTCAGACTGCTAAAGTAACTCAATATTCACAAGTACTTTAAAATTCTATTTAAAAATCTAATTAATTATCCTCAAAAATATTACGAACATACTTCAAAGTCCTGGTGGTTGTCTAGATTTGCTAATTTTCCAAAGCTCAATTTATTGTTTTCAATCCTGATTTCTCTAAATTCCAGTATTAGGAAAATTCCTCCATATTGAAATATTGATTTTTATAAATCCAGGATTAAAACAAAATATATAGCCAAAATCTAAACAAAAACACACAAAACAAAAATCCTGGCTCGATATTTTTAAAAATTTGAGGATTTTTTGGCGTAATGGGTTTCATTGCCAAAATCGGGCCGTTCCAACATCGAACAGGTACTGTAAGTTCATAATACACAAATGGTCATTGTCAAAGCTGTTTTGCTTTGTATAATCAGTGGCCATCAGCATCTATAAATTTTGTCCTTAAAATTCACTTGAACTGATCAGAACAAAAATCGTCAAATCAGTGCCAACATTTCAAAGGGGCGTAATTGCATTTGTAAACAATGGCTTTAGCCGTCAATTTCTTGCAAATAAAA